GCTCTGCTGCTGACAGCTGCAAGCGCTCACCCCCTAGAAAGGAACCCGGGGGGGCCTCTGTTTTGCCTTGTGGGAAGAGCCCACCAGTCCCTAACAGGACACAAAGCTCCTCCTACCAGCATCTGGCCCAGCACATGTGTAGCTGGGCATGAAGGTGGACTTGGGGTTTGGGGAAGGGTCCTAGGGGCCCCTGGCTCCTGCTCAGGGCTCAGTTCCTGCCTCCCATCTAAGCCTTCACTCCCCTTGTCCCCAAGGACTTTGCTTAGGGGTTCCCACAGCCGCCCCCCAGGGTGTGCCCTGACCCTGGGGGGTGCCCAGGCATCATCTCTCTTGCGCATTTCAGGTGATTTCTGATTTTGACATGACCTTGAGCAAGTTTGCCTGTAATGGACAGCGGTGCCCTTCGTCACACAGTAAGTCACGTACATACTCACTTGCCCTCTTGGCCTTGACAGAATGACGGCTTCTCAGCGCTGCTCACAGGGGTGCCCATGTTTTCCAGACATCCTGGATAACAGCAAGATCGTCAGTGAGGAGTGCCGGAGAGAGGTGGGCTGCTGCCGTCTCTGCCCAAACATCCTCCTGCAGGCCTTGGAAGGCTCTTGGTTGGGACCAAAGATCCCAGGACAGAAACATTAGAACATTACCCTTAGAATCATCATTACCAATCATACCCAGTTTTCCCTTTCGGCCAAGACATAGCCTGATTAAGTGTGGACATGATCCTTCCGGTTAGCTAGACCAGACGCGTAGAGAATGTGTTCTTTACCCCGTGCCTTGCTGCAATTCCAAGAGGATGGCCCCTTTTCCCTTCTTTGACTTGGCCTGCTTCCAAAACTTGGTATGCAGTTAACATACAAAAGAAGGGTTTTTTTTTTTAAATGAAACCATGAGTTCGACGCAATGTTTTTCTCTTTCCGTTGTATGTACATGAACATGAATCCTAAACGATTAAAGAAGAAGCATTGGTCCGTGTACCATTTGAAATCGTCTTGCTTACCGCCCCAGACAATAAGCCATTTTTGGTGGTGGGGGGGCACTTAATTCATGCTTACTGATGTCCCGTGGTTGAGCCCTGGGGACAGCTCATGCACAAGAGCGACAACCAGTGCTAGTGCATCTCTGGGAGAAGAAGCGCTTCCTGTAGTTGACCCTTAGCCCTCACTCCTGGGGCCGAGTGCAAAGGGACCGGCATGCGAGCCCAGCCGTCCCGGGGACTTGACCAAGTGGGTCCGCATGAACCAGGTGACCTGTCATAAGGGAAGATGATGGGAGAGGGAAACTGGACTCTTGTAGGTCCCGTGTCCCCAAATAAAAGTTTCCATAAAATGTATGTGGACTAATAACCTTTCTTTCCATCTGGATGTTCCCAGCTAAAGGCACTCCTTCACCACTATTACCCGATCGAGATCGACCCAAACCAGACCACCAAAGAGAAGCTACCTCACATGGTGGAGTGGTAAGTGATGGTGGTGGGATGGTGGGGTGGGGTGGGGGGCCACGCTGTGGGTTTCTCTTTCCTGAGCTTTGATATAAGGAAAGGCTTCCCTTACCACAGCGGTTCTCAACCTGTGGTCGTGACCCCTTTGGGGGTGGAGCGACCCTTTCACAGGGGTCGCGCAATTCATAACAGTAGCTAAATGACAGTGACGAAGTAGCAATGAAAGTGATTTTATGGTTGGGAGGGTGGGATTGGTCACCACCACAACATGAGGAACTGTATTAAAGGGTCTCGGCATTAGGAAGGTTGAGGACCACTGCCTTACCGTATTGAGGGCTTCCTGCGTTATTGAATGCAGCTGTTATAACAAACCACCCCGATGCACCCAGGGCTAATTATGGCTGCTGCCAGAGGCGTGGAGGTCCTCAGAGAATCCTTGGGATATGTTTGAGGCCCCTTGGGGTTTGGAGACTAAGTGCTTTGGGGAAAGAACCCTCCCGGGGAAGCCAGTATGACGGGGGCTCACTGCTTCAGAGCACGTGGCTCACAGAGGAAGCAGTGTAGCCCAAGAGTTTTGACTTCAGCATTGACGTCCCCACTGCAGGCCTCCCGTGGTCCCGCCTCCCAACCGCTTCCTTTCCAGGACGGCTCTGCGAGAAGCGTGGGGTCCTCCTTTGCCGGAGGTCTTGGCTCTGTGTATGGAAAGGCCCCTGTGGTTACTCCAGTGATTTGAATTCTGGACCTTTGGGGGGTATGGGCTTCTAGGTGGACTAAAGCTCATGACCTCCTGTGTCAGCAGAAAATCCAGAATGTTCAGATCGCCGAGGTGGTGAGAGAGTCCAATGCGATGCTTAGGTAAGCTGTGGCTTCAGGACCTTTCCTGCCAGATGGTTGGAAACCCTTTTGCTTCCCCATCTGGAGCCTGGGGAGGAGGGGGCAGGCTGAGGTGCTGGGAGAGGCACAGGAGCCTTGGCAGCACGAGCAGCTCCCGAGACAAGGTCTCGCTTTTGTCCTCCCGGTAGAACCCAAAGCGCTTCTGCCTTGGGGGGCCTTCAAGGGAGCTGTCTGCTAGAAGTGGGTGCCCGGTAAATTTGATGTGGGATCTGGCTCATTTTCCACATGAGGGAAAGACTTGGGGGGATTCCCAGAGCGCGGCTGGTTAAGTGCTGAACAACTGGCCAAAAGGTTGGCAGTGTGACGCCACCCAGGGACCTCTTGGGGGACAGGCCCAGCCATCTGTTTCTGGAAGGCCCAGCCTCCTTGAAAGCTCTGCTCTGCTCGCTGGGAGTCGCCGGGACTTGGAATCAACTCAGCGGCACTCACAACAACAGGTGCAGTTGCTCCAGGCCAGCGAGTGGGCTAGGCTGTGGCCCTCGATCACTTCTGCCTGGCAGCTTTCACAGAGCGGTGTTCTCAGCAGGCCCTTCTACCAGAGGAAGATGGGGCCCTTAGAGGAAGCTGTTGAAATGGGTTGTCCCCAAGGATTTTGTATCCTAATTGGGGAAAGAGGCTAGTGGGGTATCCCTCGGTGCAGGTATCCCAGAATAGAGGCCTGGTTATATGAAAGGTGGCAGGCAGATGCCTGCCCTCTGCCCCAGCAACCCCTGTCTCGGGTATCTGCCCAAGGCACGTGAACACACAGAGCCGTTGTATAAGCACAAGGTACATGGCTCATTAGATAAGGCATGGGCAATAATGAAACCCACAACCTTCCTCTAGTTATTAAACGCTTCCTCCCCCCAACTACCAGGACCCCAATTCTGCCTTGCAGACCTGGCTAGACCAGATGATGCACAGCG